ACTGGAGCTTGTCGAAGCCCGAGATCGTCTGCAGCCCCGAGCACTCCAAGACGATGAAGTCGCCGCCGATGTGCATGAGCTCGTCGAAGCCGTACAAGTCCTGGAGCATGGCGTTGCCGTCGAGGACCAGGTCGCCCTCGATGGTGCCGATGGACGCGACGGCCGCCGGGTCGAAGTCCGCCGGCGCCTATCGACGAACGTTTTCCCGGCGACGGGAGGACACGATCCTGGCCGAGGCGCGGCAGCGCTGGGGCGACGCGTCGACTTGTTTTTGGACGCCGCGGTCGCGCGTCGCTGAGGTCGAGCTCGTCGACGCTCGTGCAGGCGTAGCCGATGTTGTAGAGCGAGCTGATGGTCTCGTAGGTGTGGGACCCGGCGCAGGGCACGACGCAGGACGACGCGCAGGCCTGGCCCGCGACCGTGCCGTCCTTGCCGACGACGTCGCAGCGCGCCGACGGCGACTTGCTGACCTGCGCGGCGCTCGCGTGGTCGCGGCCGTCCCGGGCGGCGCCCGCGGCCCCTAAACGGCCGCGCCGGCGCGCGCCCAATCGCAATCCTTGCTCGGGTTGCCGTTCTTGAACCAGGACGTCGAGTCGCCGCCGCAGCTCCGCGCCGCGCCCTGGCACTGCACCTGGCAGCTCGCGTAGGAGTAGGCCTTGTCTTCGCCTTTGATGGTGCAGCGCGTCGGGACGTTCTCGCCGACCCAGGCGCAGTCGCGGCTGGGCTTGTTGCTCTTATGCCAATCCGGATCGTCGGGGCAGTAGTCGTCGCCGCGAACGGCAGCGACGAGAGCGACGAGAACCAGCCTCATTGCGCGATGACGAGCATAGATTCGGGAAGGCTAGTTTTTTGGGTGGGAAGATATATCGGACATGTTGAACTAGTGACCATATAATTGAAGTCGAACACTCGAGTACTACTCGAGTCGAAAATCGCGCGGCCATCGCGCCGCGCGCACCGAACGCGGCGAGGCGCCTCCTAAGGTGTGTCGTTTAAGGCCCGGCGCGCGCGAGGAGCACGGAGAGCGGCGTGTCCTCGTCGTCGCTGTCCTCGTCGAAGAGCGGCGGCGGCGCCGGCGGCGCGGCGGCGGGCGCGGCCGGCGGCGCCGGCGACTTGCTCCGGCGGCGCGGCGACCGGGGCTTCGGCGGCGGCGCGAGGGGCCGGAGCTCGAGGGGCGAGGGCTCGGGCGCGGGCGGGAGCGCGCAGAGGCCGTCGAGGTAGGCCCGCCAGTCGACGCCGCTGCGGTAGGCGACGACGAAGGGCTCGGGCGTCGCGAGGCGCAGCTTCTGCATGTCGTGCCAGCGGCCCTTGGCGTGCGTGACGCGGCCGCTGAGCGCGCGGAGGTCCGCGTCGATGTGGCGCGTCGCGCGGACCAGCGGGTGGTGCTTGAGGCCGTCGGCCTCGGAGACGAACTCGATCTCGATGCCCGCCGGGCGGTCGTCGAAGGACGCGTCGTGCATGCGGCGCACCGCGCCGCGGCTGTCGACGGGCAGGAGGAGCACCTCGCACCGGTAGCTCACGAAGAGCTCGCGGATCTTCGACTGGAGCCAGTTCATGCCGTAGCGCTCCTCGTAGTAGCCCGGCTGGAGCCAGAAGTAGTCGAGCATGAGCACCTTGGGGTCCGTGTTTTTGATGATGTCGCGCAGGCTCTTCTTGAAGTTCGCGGCGACGTGCGTGTCGTGCTTCGCGTTCTGCGCGACGATCTCCGCGTCGGCGGAGCGGCGCTTCTCGGAGCGCGGCACGTACTCGGAGCAGCCGATGACCTTGAGGCCCGGGTAGAGCTCCTGGAGCGCGTCGAGGCGCAGGTGGTCCGGGCAGTCGCCGTTCTTGTTCGGCTCGTCGTACTTGCACGCGAGGACGAAGCAGGCGCCCGCGGAGCCGCGGGCCGCCGTCGCGGCGGTCTTCGCGGCGCGGGCGGCGGCCGCCGGGGCCCGGGGGCCCGGGGCCGCGGCGGCGGCGACGGCGCGCGCCTCGGCGACGACGTCGCCCTCGAACGACGACGCGGACGAGCTCGACGGCGACGCGGGCCGGGGCCGCTTGAGCGTGTTGCTGTCGGCGAGCGGCTGGGGCGGGGGGCGCTTCTTGCTGAGGGGGCCGAGCGGCTGGGACCACGACCGCTTCGCCGTCGGCGAAGCTTTGGTCGGCGACGCGAGGATCGCCGCGCGCTGCTGCTGCGGGCTCGGCGCCGTCGACGGTTGCGTGTTGTTGGCGTCGGGGGCCTTGCGCTTCATGAGGGCCGGGTGCTTGGCCATGGCGGCGCGGGCGCGCGCGGCCGCCGGCGAGCGATGAAAATAGGGATACGCGGAAGGTCGCGGCGCGCGGCGCTTTCCGGTGATGCGTGGCGTTCCGGGGTGCGCGCGGCGGTGTGGCGAGGTGGAGTGGCGGTTTTGGGGCGGTTTGTCGCGCGTCGGAACCGTTGGCAGCGACGTGTTTGACTGGCGTCGCGGCACCTGCCGCGTCGACGACGTTTACGGAGAGCTCGAGCCCCGGCGCGCCGATGCCGGGCGACGGACGACGTCGTAGGCGTCGTCGTTCGATGCGATTTCGTTTGTGGTTGTTTAGGTGGTTTCGTCGCGACGTGTGTGTGTACGACGTCTCTCTACGTTTACCAAAAAAAAAAAAAGAACGATATTGACAGGATTCGAACCTGCGACACTTTCGTGAAAGGATTTCAAGTCCTTCGCCTTAACCACTCGGCCACAATATCCCCGGCAAAAATCTCCCACTGGGATTCGAACCCAGGTAGCCAGAATTGATTCGTCCTTTGCGGACTCAAAACCTGGAATGCTAACCACTACATCATGGGAGAACCCCCGACCTCGACCCGAGACGGGTCGTGGGCAAAAATTCTGACATCGCAAGCCGTCCGATTGCTGCGAGACCCGGGTCACGGCTCGACGTGGTGTATCATACCGGATCAGCGGCAAAAAAAAAAATTCCTAACTCCTACACCTCAAAAACAATAACTCCTAGACCTCTAAAACAAGATCAGAAACAGCGCCGGCAGCAGCACCAGCCCGTGGAGCAGTCCGGACAGCACCATGGCCAGGAACATGATGAACATCTGGAAGTAGGCGTAGTAGTCGCTGAACGCGAGCACGGTGACCGCGAGGAGCGTCGACAGCCCGCCGTTGAGCACGGACGCGCCCAGATCCTCCAGCGCGCCCCGGACCGCGCTCTCCACGTCGTCCCCCCGGCGGACGTTGTGGGCGCACGCGTAGGCGATGTGCGCGGAGAAGTCCTGCGGATGGGGCGTTCGAAGCTGGGGCGGGGCGGCGGACGCGGCGGACGCGCGACGGAGAAGCCGACGGCCATGATCAGGTTCAGGAGCGACGACACGTTGAGCTGGAACCGCCCGAGGGCCATGACGCCGAGGATCGACAGGTTCACGAGGACGATCATGAGCGCGACCAGCGCCGTCGCCTTCGGCGGCAGCATGAGGCCGCCTGCGTTCGGCGGCGCGGGGGCGTTTCGACGCGTCCGGCGGCGCGGGGGCGTTTCGAGGCGATGCCAGCGGCGGCGCGCGGCGGCGGGGGCTTGGTCGAGGCTTTTCGAGGCGTCGCGGGGCGGCGGGGGGGCTTTTCGAGGCTTTTCGAGGCGCTCGACGGGACTCGAAACGACGCCGGGACCGCGCAGACGCAGAGCACGCCCGCGACGGCGCCGCCGAGGGACACGGTCGTGAGGTCGACGATGGCGTCGAAGCGCTCGAGCCACAGGTACTGCACGGAGAACGCGCGCGCCTTGACGCCGCCGGCGCTCGCGTCGGCCGCCGCGCGCCGCGACCGCTCCATGGTCCGCACCTGGGCCGGCCTGCGACGGGGGCCGATATCCCCGGGAAACCAAGAACAAGGCCACGCACGTCTGTTCGGGGAAGCTCGCGACGGTCCGGAGGCGGCTCGCGTCGACGAGGCCGTCGCCGAGGACGACGTCCTCGCGGTACGCGTTCCCGGAGGGCGACGCGAGGAACGTCTCGAGCCCGGCGAAGGACGTGTCGTTCCCCGCGGCGTCGCGCCAGGCCTCGTACCAGCCGTAGACCGGCGGCTTCGTGCCCTTGAGGTTCGCGGCCTCGGCCGACAGGTCCTCGAGCGCCCGGCGGTGGCCTGGGGACGACGACGCGGTTTCGTGAGCGGTTTCGCGAGAGCACGATAGGACGGACGCCGGACAAGGGGACTCTCGCGCTCGACGACGACCCGCCCCGTGACATAGGTGACGTCGAACTCGCTCTCGAAGGTCCGCTCGCGCCTACCGAACGGTCCGTCGCGTCCCCGGAGAAGAAGGCGAAATGCGCCGGCTCCGCGCGCGTCGTAGTAGTCGAGGAGGTAGCAGCCCTTGGGCAAGAACAGGTCCCAGTCCGCGCCGACGCGCAGGGCCGTGCCCGCGGCCGCCGCGGCGCCCGCGGCGAGGAGGAAGAACGCGCACGCGACGGCGCGCGGCCGCGCGGGCGACGCCGTGAGCCACGCGCCGAGGGACCGCATGAGCGCCGTGAGCCGCGCCGTCAGCCAGGGCGCGTCGTCGTCGTCGGCGGCGGCGGGCAAGGCTCCGGACGGCGGCGCCTTGCCGAGCTCGACGCCGCCGTCGCCGCCGTCCCGGGCGACCGCGACCGCCTTGTCCTCGGCGACCGCGTCCTCGGCGACCGCGTCCTCGGCGGCGACCTTGGCGCCGTCCTCGGCGTCCTCCTCGGCGGCGGCGCGCCGGAAGCAGGGCGCGAGCTCGTAGCGGTTCGCCTCGACGCGGCGCTCGTGCAGGGCCAGGCACGCCGCGAAGAACGTGACCTGGATCGCGAAGACGCCGACGACCGCGAGCGCCGCCGTGACTGCGGGCGGCGGGTCGGAACCGTCGTAAAAAGGAACGGACCCGGAAGAACGCGCTGCAGAAGTAGCTCGCGGCCGGCAGGTCGATCGCGGAGCCGACGAGGAACCTGCGTGGAATTCAAATCTTCAACCCGACTTCAATGTGAGCGTACGCGACGGTTTCGACGCAATCTCTTCGGCTGCGCTTCGAGAACTCGACGAGAGCAATCGATTCGTCCAAAAATCAGCCGAATCGACTTCGATTTGACCGAGCTAGAGAATTCTGAAGTTTGGTCAGGACCACCCAAACCAGCGGTTGAATTCCACACAGCGAGGAACGCGACAAAGTCCGTGAGGCTCGTCAGCAGGATGGAGCAGCCGCTGTCGCCCAGGGCCGCCGACACGAGCGCCGGGACCCGCCCGGCGCGCCCCCGGGGGATCCGCCGCTTCGCGCGGTCGAGCCTACGACGCGCGCGGTCGTCGTCGTTCTCCGGGAAAATTTGGCCCCGTACGACTCGCGCGTCGACGACGATGATCATGTCGTCGATGCCCACGCCTAGAATGATGAAGAGCGACAGGAAGCTCAGCACGGAGAAGGGCACGCCGACCCAGCCGCAGACGCCCAGCGCGAAGAGGAGCGCGAGGCCGACGGTGAGCACGATCGTCCCTCCGAGGAGCGCGCGCGACCGCACGGCGTCAAAACGAAAAAGCAGACACGTCACGTAGACGACCATGACGCCCATGGCCGAGCTCACGAAGATGGAGTTCTTGTCGATCTCGCCGTCGCTGAGCTGCTTGTACGAGCTCGACGCGACGCAGTACGCGTCGACCAACTCGCTTTCAAAGTCGTCCCAGCACGCGTCGATGAAGTGCTCCTCGAAGTCGAGCGTGGCCCGCGACGCGTCCTCGCTGTTGAGGCTGTCGTCGACGTAGTAGACGATCTGCACGGCCGTCGCCGAGAGCGCGCGCGCGCCGTCGAATCGGGTTTTCGCCGCGAGCGCGTCGAGCGACATGTACTCCTCTAGAATCTCGTCGTAGAGGGGCGCGGCGCTCAGCGTGCCCAGAATGTCTTCGTCGGCGCGGAGCCGCGCCGCGTCGTCGCCCCAGGCGTGCAGCAGCGACCGCGCCTTGCAGGGCCCGCCGGCCCAGGCGCGCTCGCAGACAGCGGCCCACCTCGTGCCGTTCGTGATGCCTGCGCGGGCGTTTGCGTCCCCGGCGGCGCGGCCGCGGGGTTCTACGCACTGTGGTGCAGGCGCAGCACGTCCAGCAGCGCGGCCTTGTCGAAGATCGAGCCGGCCCTGGCCTCGGCGACGAGCGACTGCACCCGCTTCTCCGGACCGAAGCGCTGTTTCTGGTACTTCCAGTCGGTCCAGGCCTGCGACTTGCGCGGGTACCAGAGCGCGAAGTAGTCGCTCTCCGTCTCCATCTTCGCGATGCCGCTGCCGGCGACGAGCGCGACACTGACGGAGCAGGCGATGAAGGCCCAGGGGTAGGCGCCGACGCGGCGGCCGAGCGCCGCGAAGCGCTTCTCGAGCCGCGCGTTGACGGCGGCGCTGACCGACATATCAGCGGAGCGCCCTTCGGCCAAGCCGGCGGGTCAGAGCACGAGACTTTCAGCGGCGGTGGGCTGCTGACCTCATAAGAATGCTGGGTCTTGTCTTGTGCATGTTGATGTTCAATGGCCTCGGCGAGCGTTCGTTTCGCCACTGAGAGCTCTTCGCCGCAGACCCGGCGCGACTCGTCGCGCGTGGAAAAGACGACCGTGTACCCCCGTATTTAGGAAAAGACGAACCGACCGGCGCCCAGGGAGCACCCCTCGAAGATGGCTCGGTTCGCCCTCGTCCTCCTCGCGAGCGTCGCCGTCGCCGTCGAGATTCTCGAGACCGACACGTCCTGGCTCGACGGCGACGAGGCTTCCGTCGAGCAGGCCCTGCGCACGTTCGAGGCCGCCGCCGCGAAGGGCGACGCGCACGCCCGCCACAACGTCGGCGAGTACTACAATCGCCGGCAGGACTACCAGACCGCGGCGGACCACTTCATCGCCGCGGGCGAGGGCGGGCTCCCCGACTCGTGGCACGCGGCGAGCCGCGCGCTCGCGCGGGCGGGCAACATCGCGAGCGCGGCCCAGTTCCTCAACGCCGCCGCCGAGGCGGGGAGCGAGGCCGCGAAGGCGCGCCTCGCGCGCGGCCGCGAGCGGCGGCAAAAGCAAAAGGACGCGTGGCAGACAGGTGTGAAACCCGGCGACGAAGCGCCGCAGCTCTGGCGGCCGAGCCTCCGGCCGACGGTCCAGGCCGACCCGCGGCCGAGCTTGCAACCGCGCGTCCTCGAGATGCCTAGCGTCCAGCCCAAAATCCTCGACGAGCTCTGACTGCGCGCTCGTCTTCGTACGACGTCGCGCCTGTGAAACTTGCCACACTGACCTCTGACCGCGCGCTCGTCTTCGTCGACGACCTCGCGCCTGAGTAAACTTGCCACAGAGACGGACCACACAGGCACGTCGCT